CGGAGTTCTCTTTTTCTTCCATTGTGACCGTATTCGCATGCCACCACCATCGTGCGCTACAGTGATGGCAACGCCGAAAAAGCGGCAGAACTACGACGCGAAGAACTTGGCGACTAAAGTGGAAATTTTGGAAGCACTGAAGAACGGCGAATCGCGACAGCAGGTTATGACCAAGTACAACGTGAAGCGGAGCACGTTGAGAACGTACGTGAAAAATGAACAAAAGATTCGACAAGCCTTCGAAAGCGAGAAGTTTCATGCCTCTAGAAAGCGGTTGCGAACCGCAGCTCATCCCCAGCTCGAAGAAGCTTTGCTCCGGTGGATTACTGACTGTTGCAACGCGCATCTGCCTTTGAGCGGACCTCTCAACATGGCGCAAAGTGAGAAGTACGCTGCAATGATGAACATTGAATCGTTCAAAGCGTCAGAAGGATGGTTTGCGAGGTTTCGAGAGAGACACGAACTTGTCTTCAGGGGTGTGTGCGGCGAAAAGGCCAGTGTTGACGAAAGCGTGACCACCGAGTGAAGAAATGTGAAGCTGCTGGAGCACATCGCCGCATATGAACCACCTGACGTGTTCAATGCACATAAAACTGCTCTATTTTTCAGAGCTCTGCCCGACAAGACGGTGACTTTCAAAGGGGACGCGTGCATTGGTGGCAAGAAATGCAAGCAAAGGATAACTGTGCTTCTTGCCGCCAATATGACTGGCACGGAGCGCTTGCCACTACTTGTCGCCGGGAAGGCGCTTAAGCCACGTTTTTTTAAGAACGTCAAAAGCCTTCCTGTCGAGTACACAGCGAACAGGAAGGCATGGATGACATCGGACATTTTTCGCGGCTGGCTGCAGCAGTTGGACCGGCACTTCACGTCGAAGGACCGCAAGATAATTATGGTTGTTGACAACTGCAGTGCCCATAACTGTACAGTCGAACTGAAGAGCATCAAAGTAGTTTTTTTGCTGCCCAACACTACGTCTGCTCTTCAGCCGATGGACCAGGGTATCATTCACTACGTGAAGTTGATGTACCGCAAGCACCTGCTAGAGCGAATGATTTTATGCTCAGAAGCTGGAAAGTTGTATCAAGTGGACTTACTCAGCGCAGTGCACATCATCGCCCATGCGTGGAAAAACACTCCGCCGCAAGTCATCGCCAACTGTTTTCGGCACAGCGGTTTTGTGAGGCCCGAGCATGCAGCAGTAGCTGACGATGGCATCGAGGAGGTGTCAGCCGAGTCCACCGACGATGACTGCCCGACTTTCTATGCTGTTCTTCCCACAGATGTGACCTTTCAGGACTACATCGCGATTGATCATGGTGTCGCCACGAGTGGTCTCCTGACCGATCAAGAGATTATTATAGATGTCACGGGCCCCATGAAGACCACGATTCCGACGAAGAATCAAGCGAGGAGATACAGCCGCGACCTCATCGCACCTCACGGGAAGTCTCGGAGGCGCTGTTAATATTAGAGGGCGCTTGCCTGAACACTCCCGACAGCTTGCGTGCTGTTGGCCATTTGGAACAGTTAAGAAAAATTGTGATGTCAGCCGGGATCTGCACGAAAACGCAGACGACAATTACAAAATACTTCAACAAATAAAGGTATGCTTCTGCAGCTTGATTTTAAATGTTGTTTTCTCTGTTCATTCGTTAATTCGGCATTCGGTTAATTCGGACAGTTTTTCCGGTCCCGTGAAATCGGAATCAACAAGCTTTTACTGTAGTAGCATCAATAACGAAAGCTGTAAAATATTCCGCAGCATCATCTATGTTCAGTGAAGCAACATCTTCACGTCTTAAATATGTTCTCTTGAAATAGCTCCCAGTTGGATGATTCAATCTTCCATCGCAGAATATGATGGAGGCATTGGTCTTGTGTCATTAGGTTCAAAACTACTGGAAACTGGTCGCTTCCGTAAGGGTTCTTAATAACGTGCCACTCAAGATATGGTAAGAGTGTACTAGATATAATGCTTAAATCAATGGATGAGTATGTTTGGTGTGTGACACTAAAATATGTAGGCTCCTTTTTATTGAGTAGGCAGGCACCTGAGGAAAACAGGAAATTTTCCACGAGGCGTCCTCTCGCATCACCGCGGGGGTTTTCCCACAGTGGGTTATGCGCATTGAAATCTCCAACAATCATATATGGCACAGGAAGTTCTTTAATGAAGCTTTGGAATTCTGCTTTATGGAGTTGATAGTAGGAGGGATATATATTAAAGTGATAGTGACAAGCCTACCAAATATCACTCCCTGAACCGCAACTGCTTCCGAAGGCGTTTGGAGATGTAACTGCTTACAGGTGGTACCTTCATCAACTATGGCTACTCCTCTAGGCGACGCAACCGCGTCGTCACGGTCTTTACGAAAAATCGCATATTGCTTGAGGAAGTTGGTCTGTGTGCTTTTTAGGTGAGTTTCTTGAACACACAGCACTTTCGGCTTAAATTGGTGAAGGAGTTCTTTCACATCACCAAGATTATGAAGAAGACCTCTCAGGTTTCAGTGTAAAACCTGTGTGCCCATCTGAAGAGAGATGTTCACGCTGTGTGCTTTAAAAAGCAACTTATCACACAGAGCCTTTCGAGAGCCTTTCCCAGGCCCTTTGATTACAGCTCTTTCTTTTTTAGAGCGGCCGACAGTGTCGCGCCGCGCCGCTCCTTTGGCGCAGACTGCGCCACCTGTCCAGGAGTTGCGTCCATTGCCTCAGCGGAGGCGCTGAACACACCGCTCTAGGGAGCGGTGTGTCCTTCTGGGATGGCAGTACAGCACTTACTGCTGCTGCTGCCGTGGGGGGCGAGCGGCATTGCCACCGGCTCACTACTCCCGAGCACAGCGCCTGCCGCAGGCCGTTGTGACGGTGCCCCCTGACGCGTCACATCAGCATAGGCATAGGAGTTATTTGGCATGTTTGTAACATGCCTCCATGCCTCTTTGAGGGACAAGTTTTCTATGACTTTAATAGTAACCATTTCTTTTTCTTTTTTTTCCAGGAGGGACAAGACCGTGAGTACGTGGCATGTTCCCTGTTACAGTTCACACAATGTGGCGTATTCGAGCAAGTCTCAGAGGAATGTTCTGTGTCACTACATTTGGCACAAGTCATTCAACCTTGGCAGCTCTGTGAGCTGTGACCAAACCTCTGACATATGTAGCATTGAAGAGGATTGGGGATGTATGGTCACACTCGGATCTTTACATAACCCATCTCGATGGTCTCTGGCAGGACACTTGAGTTAATGGTCCGAATTAAATGTTTTGTTTCAATCTCTTTGTCGTTGCGCCTCATCCTAATACGCTTTACATTGATCACATTATGATCACTCCAACCATCTAGCAACTCTTTCTCAGTGAGCTCTTTCAGGTCTTCATCGAAAACAACACCCCGAGAAGTGTTCATGGTGTAGTCTGGAGTCACTGTGACCGGGAAGTCACCGAAAGAAGCAAGAGTCTCTAATTTCTCATGTTGTTTCCTCTCTCGGAGTTTTAAAAGGAAGTCTCCGTTGGCCAGCTTTGTACCCAGGTCCTATGGTCTCTTTGAGGCTATTCGCGACGAGGAAGGGTGACAATCCTCGAGCTTTCTTGTCCGCTTTTACAGAATGAATTACACGATAGCGTGAAAAGTTATCTGTCTGATGGCTATTAAATATGAAGATGTCTTAGGTGAACCCTCTTTTCTTCTGGGAGCGATCGTGCAGTGAAGGAAAAGAACTGTCCATATAAGTATTCCTGTTTTCGGTACCAATGCCAGCCACCCACTGTGGGGCCCAACAAGGGGACGCAGTGGAAGATGTAAAAACACGGACGCCAACTGTATTTTGCCACTATAACCGTATATGAAATAACCTAGGTGTGTTATGCCACACAAGGTTAACCCTTGCCACCAGTAAATTCGGAAGTAAACGGATGATAGAAGATGACAGGGTAGATAAAAAGTAAGAGATAAAGACAAAGATGTAAGGAGAGAGAGAGATAGGAAAAAGCGACTGCCAATTTTCCCTGGGTGGGTCAGCCCAGGGGTGCCGTCTACGTGAAGCCGGGGCCAAAGGGTTGTGTTGCCTCTGCTGGGGGGCTTTAAAGGTCCAATCACCCAGCTTCAGGTCAACCCCCAAAATTCCCTTTTCCCCGGACACGGCTCGGCCACTCACCGCTAGGCGTGGGAGGAGGTTGAGACCGCCCCGTTAGCTCGGGCCCGTGGTGTCACTAGTTTTCTAATGATCCCTGCATTATGAATGAATGATCCTTGCACAATTTTTTGAGCGCAGACCCCAGGAAGAACATAGCAATAGTATAAGGTATCTGTCACCTTTTCGCGCCTGTAAAATTCACTCAACTGTGCCCAAGGACTGCTCGGGAGGAGGCAAGCCAGCAGAGATGTGGCAAGAAACATGGCACGACTGACCGGAATTTTGCCGAAGGCATGGTTTACGAAATTCTTTTTTCTTGTGGCAACTCGTACATCGGGCACACCAGGTGCTGTATTCATGAACGAGTCAGGGGGCATGCATTAAATCTGTTGAAGGATGGCTTGGCAAACTTGCATATGCATTGCAAAGCCTGCACGGGTGAACCACAATTTAAAAAGATCAAGATTCTCGGTAGAAGTAGATATAAAACTGCGCATGAGTTGACGGAAACCCATACATTAAAAAGAAAAGAGAATGGTGTATCCGTGACATGTTGGTGACGTACGTATCAGAAAAGAACTCATTCAATGGCTGGATAGTGTAAGGCTGTGTGAAGACTGTGCATGTCTCTATGTTGCATAGTTGCATACTTAAGCCGAAGTTTGCGCTCAGTCTACCTTAGTTGGAAGTGCCGCTTGTGCTTGTTGTTGTGTGTTTCTCTACACTGTAACATTTCGCGGCTAAGGTTTGTCATTAAGCAAGTACTAACTAGGCCAACAATCACTCTAGAACTTTGGTCCTTTGACGGGATCCCGCTGAATGCTGTTGTACACATCTCTATTAACACCTGCAGTCAAATGCTCACCGGACAATGGGTCGATAGTGTTCACTTTGGCCATACGCGCCGTCGAGAGGACCAGCTCGTCGAAGACTGGCACACTGCCGCCCACGAGCCCTGTGTTGCCACCCTGCGGGCAGACGGCCAAGCGGCGACTGTGGCAGTGTGACAACACGGCAGACACTTCCTCCGTTGAACGCGGCAACAACACGGCAGCTCCCGATCCTGCAGGAAGAGGTTCATTGAACACGTTCGTTCACTCCATCTGTGCCACGCAGATACCGTTTGTTTTAACGCCATAATGCTAAAAAAGTTCCGTTTTGCAAAAATGTCAACGTTGGCCCGTTAGTTGTGACCGAAAAATTGAGAAAGATGCAAATATTATATATGATTAAAAATTCTGGGTCTGAGTGGGGATAAAAGCCGGGTCGTTTACATTGCCAGTGGATGTTCGACACAGCCACGCCTATGTTTGTGAATACAGTGAAAAAAACTTCCTCTGCTTAGAAATGCAGTGAAAGTAACTTTCATGCTTTACAAGCACAGGCATCCTGTATACCTGCTTCACAATACAATAGAACATGAACTACTGCCTTAAAAATGCGTGGCACAAGCGCACATTGCCATCGAGTGTCAGAACATGATGCTATTATAATGACTTCATAGTTTAAAGCGAGTCACCCACTACAAAAGGCACACATGCTACTGGACACTTAAGGCCATGTAGTAGGTGTACAGCAAGTTCGAAAAGATTTCATACACTAAGTGTTTCAAGTGGGTTTGGAATGCGTAGGAAAACATTTTTAATGATCTATTGTATGCACATCGGCCCAATATTAGAGTTTGGGTGTGTATTGCTCTCTGAAGGAGCTGCTTATAAATTAAGCCCTCTTATAAGTTTAGAACGTGAGGTGCTACATTTATGTCTGTAGTGTACACGTATCCCAAAGGAGTATGGCCACTAGCGTGGGTCCGGTCTTAGCGAGCCGCAGGGCATGCGTTAACCGTCGCCGTGGCCAGAACACGGTACTTCTCAAGGTCGCAACACTTTATTGCCTGCTGCAACACCAAAACGCAGTACAGAGCCCATTGCAACAGGGGTAGTGGGAAAGCAAATAGGCTTATTCATACCCCGGGCAAAATGTACTACACAGGATGCCACGAGCACGTCTCCATGGGCAAAAATGATTCATAGGGACATCGAGACAAACAGGGCCTGGTCACTCGAGCGAGGGCAAAACTTTGCTTGTGTTGGCTTCCGAGAGGTATGGGTTGGCGTACTATGACCATGCTCTAGGACACCACACCGCTCTTCGGCCTAGTATTCGGAGGGGGCGACGAAAAGGTGAGCGTTTGCCGTGGGTGCAAGGCGTCGTTGGTGAAGTCCGATGAGCCCCAAACGAAAGGAGCCGATGAACAGAAAAGAAATACGTGCTCACCCTGGTCGTCCCAGACAAATTCTCTCTCACTCCCGACACGCGCGGAACGTCCAGAGAGACTTTGCGCACGACGCCAGAGTCGACATTTGCTACCGGGTGAGAGGGGTTAATAGTCACTCCCTTTCCCACAGCAAGACAGACAGTGAAGAAGGGGAAAGTCATGTCAGGACATGACAACACAGAAAGAGGTGGCAAAGCCCACCCAACAGCGGCGGGCTAGCCTCGATTCCCACATGTCTCAGCCTTCGAAAATTTGTAGCCAACACTATACTTTATCACAAAGCATACCTGCCATCTCTTCAAACTAGGGTTCGCATGTTAACAGTTAAAACATATCTAAACATATATTCTCAGCCTTCCCATGCAAATGCTCTCAATATGTGTTCCTTAATGAGCCTTCCACATTTTTTCAATGTGAATGGTCTAGGTTACATAGACCTCAAATAATACTTGCAGAGAAGCTTTTGGAACCACTACAAGTATCACATCGTAATATAATTTACCCAAACGTACTTTCTCCCACACCGGTAATAGACTAATGGCTAAGGTACTCGGCTGCTGACCTTCAGGTCGCGGCGATACCGGCTGCGGCGGCTGCATTCCGATGGAGGCGGCGATGTTGTAGGCCCGTGTGCTCAGATTTGGGTGCACGTTAAAGAACCCCAGGTGGTCGAAATTTCCGGAGCCCTCTACTACAGCGTCTCTCATAATCACATGGTGGTTTTGGGACGTTAAACCCCACATATCAATCAATCAATCACACTGGTAATAGAATTTGATCATATATTTCCAAGAAACGCTAAACTATTACCCACCAGGTATTTAAAAGGGTTGTTGGAAGACCACCTCAAAATCATGGGGATAAATTCAGTTGTAGCCACAGATGCTTCTGCGAGTGGTGTGAAAGCCAGAGTGGGAATCTATTTAACGGATCTTAGTTGATCCTTTTCTCTTCGCTTGCCCAAGTTCACATCAATATTCCAGGCAGAATTAATGGCAATTACTCTTGCACTGCATAAACTCCCATCACATTTCTTCAGTAGTGGTGTTAACAGATTCCTTGTCTGTTTGCACTGCGCTAGCAGCATCTCACTCCTCCAGCTGCCTCACAGAAGTTTATTGGTGTATGCCAAATCATGTGCGAAACGTCTGTGTGGTTTGGATACCAGGCCACACTAGATTAGAATTAAATGAAGCGGCGGACACCTTAGCGGCAACATCTGTTAAAGGACCTGCCCTAAATATTATAAAACGATCCTGCGATAACATGTTCACACGATTCAGAAACATTTGTCTGCATGAGAAACATACTAAATCTTCTCAACTGAGCGACACAAGTTTACAGCACCTTAGGCATCCGTGGAATAGCTTATGGTGCAGCATAAGACAATTGGAAGTTACGGTAACAAAATTGATATGCAGAATACCGTCACTAAGTTTTTACTTAGACAAGCCTGGATTTGCCCCCCCAATGTATCTTTCCTAATTAAGCAGGAACAATTGAGCACTTCTTCATGGAGTGTGCAAGATATCAGAACCTCAGGCAAAGATTTCTAAAAGCACTTTTTTCAAAAAATGGGCCTTGAGCTTTCTACATCAGCATTGCTCTTCCTAGGGTCGTCGGCACCGGGGCACTGCGACAGGGTCATTCACAATGCTATATTTAATTATTTAAAATACTCGAAGAGAATGCCATGTTAAAACTATCAGTAACCCAAAACGTTGTTTCATCTATCCTTTCACCTTAATTATATCAATTATTAGTTCATATGTTTATCTTTAAGTAGCATTGCATGGAAAGGCACGAAAATCATCACGAATATTTTTGACCCTGTTTATTTTATCTTTTTTGCATATTTATCACCCTCTTTTTCTCCTTTCTCTTTTTAGTATTTATTTATTTTTTTTTTTCACAAATTCTGCTGTGGCATGCCTCATTGCCGATCCCCCATTGTGGGTAGTGCCGCTATTCTGGGAATCATCATCATCACCATCATCATCATCATCATCACCATCATCATCATCATCACCACCATCAGTTGAACGCGAGGCTATCGCTCTCGTGTTCAACCTTTTAAGGCGAAGCTTGAGGGTCCCTCAATTTTTTCTCCTCACTTTTTTTAGGCACGGACTGTCTTCGTAGCTCTCAGCAAGCATCTCAAGGTCGCTGATATTCGCCACTAGAGAACCCCCCTCCCCCCCCCCCCCCATTTTTATCCTGGCCATCACCTGCTTCCTCATGTCAAGGAGAGACACAGGGACCGCGTTTCCATCGAGCCTGGGTCCGGCAAAGTATTGCCCGAGCTATTTATCCGCTCTGTGCGTTCTAGCGCTATGGACCGTTTTCAAATATTTTCATAAAGAGGAGGAGCGTAGCCTCGAACCAGTGCATTTTCGTTACTTTTCATTGTCCGTTCGGTCACCGCTGTTGGTGTGTGGGGATTGCCGCATTTTGCATGCGTGGTGCATCAGAGGTCAATGTGTTTAGTTTTTTTTTATGCGCTAAAGCATTTGTTCTGCTGAAAATCAAAATATCAGACGAGAGCCGGACGACAGGCTACCACGGCATTGTGTTTGGCTGCGACAACTGTCGAAAACAGAAAAGGCTGGCAGCCGAGACCTGCGAGGTGCACTTTCCTTCGAAATGACTTTACCTAAAGGTCACAGGTGTTCTTCTCCGACAAATACTTTGTTATATGACAAGTCTGTCCTTGTGGCCATTCCTTTATTACACCAGCTTGTGCACTTCATCATTCGGAACAAAGAGAAAGAACGTCAAAGCCGACGGTTAATATAGAAATGTTTTTTTAATATCAACATGCCCCATTTCTTGCAACACATGGAACTTTGCCTGCAGCTACCAAAATCTAAGCGCATGCAGTTTCAAGATTATCGAATGAGCACTTTTCAAACTGCATGACAGAAAGGCTTGCACAACGTAAGTTTTGAGAAACGTGCCTCTAGCGTTTTTTCGACGGCACGTCATTTCTCGACTAGCCCATTTTGCGACGATAACTGGGGCAGTTTTATGACAACCGCATTTTTTTCGCAGCAACCTGAGTGTGAATAATTGACCTACAATCGCTAAAGCCAGGTCACTACCTGAACGCGGGCGCCCGTCGTTATGCTTCTTCCAAAAAACGTGCAGCGTAGTTACAGGGAAAGCTACAAGAGCGGCCTTTTAGAGCCTTTTCGGAACGCTTTTGGGGTAACTGCTACAAGCACACTGCTGGGTACCCACAGCGCCATAAATAATCATATTTTTTGTGTAGTTGGCCAGCATTCACTAGGCTATCCTTCGTCATTCGTTTCAGAAGCGTGGTATCCGCTACACACTTGTTAGAAATTTTGTGCCAATTTTTATGCAGTGGCTGACGATAATCAAGAATAATGCTTGAAGCAGGCGTTACAAATAAAATAGGAAGAAAGGGCGGCAGGCACGAGCACGAACCGCGGGTGCTAGCTCGCTCAGTTGTTCCTTTGACCTTCGATGTAGCCAGATGATCGGGTCTAGATCTCCTTCTTCGTTTTTCACACTTCGTTCTGGTGCCGAAACCCACCCTGTCGTCTGGCCCTCGACTTTCGACAATGAATCAACTTCGAGTACTGCGCAACTTCTACCGGACAGCCATCACCAAGGCAATGCTGATGCTTGACACCCTTTTGGCTGACTTGATGACCTCCTGGAGGCTCTGAGCAGGGGGCTCACAGGCTCCAGGAGGTCATCGACATCATTGTGGCAAAACACGCTCACCTCATCACCGTCAATAAGAAGATTCAAGCTGC